TGAATCCAAGATGACGACAGCATGTAACTCAGCACAATCTAGGTCGTTAAACTCAGGTGAAAGCGTCGAGCTAAACGGAGGTGTGAAGCGTGGCAGCGAGTTCATCGACGGTGCTTCTAAGCAAAATATTCGAAGGAGCAAGAGGGCGTGTGTCGTAAATATTTCGAGGCAAGCTCAACTCAACGCCGCGACAGCTAGAATACGCAAAAGCGTCAAATCTGGCGCCTCAGGAAGCAAAACTGGAGCGAAAAATGGGTCGAAGACGTCGGAAGCTAATGCTAACCCCGCGATTGAAGTAGCAGCTCCTGAAACGCCTACTGCACAGGATAACCTGGCCACAGAAAGCAGCCTTGATGTTGGTCCAGGATCAAACTCATCTTTGGGAAAAAGGAACAGAGATGCTGACGACAACGACGCCAACACCGATGTGGACATGTTACCTGAGCGAGATATGAAGAAGCTTTGCATATCAGGCAATATTGGGGAATCAAGTTTGGAAGCCAGTGTCGGGCCGACGACTACGCAAGAAAACGACGTCCCAGGAGTTTCAGGTGAACAAGCGCTCGTTGATGCAGAGATGGAAACTTTGGCACCTGTTCCAGATGTAGCCAACACTGATTCTTTGACGATTTACAGGAATCGTTGGAAGACAGTCATCGCATCGAAACCTTTCGGACGTGCCATCGATGAAGATACAACACCCCTTGAACTGATCTGCGGGCTACGCGACGCAATTGAAGGTCACAAGTCACTTTTTATTGATTCGAAGATATTGCACCCCGATATATCGACAAATAATATTATATTGACAGACCCGAAGCTCAATGATGGCTATTATGGGGTGTTGATAGACTTGGATCTGGCTATCTCGATGAGTGACGATAGTTGTTCAGCAGATGCCAAGCTCCTGACGGGGACTATGGAGTTCATCACACTCGGTATTTTGAAAGCTCATGCATTCCCAGAAGGGGATGGAGTTATTCACTCGTATCGACACGATCTAGAATCTTTCTTCTATGTACTGGTTTCAGTCTGTATACGTCTTGGATGGCCCTCGAAAAAATGCACTTTCATTGGTACGCTAAGGAAATGGTACAAAGGAGAAGTCGTGGATATATACTTCTCTAAACATACTGCCGTTAGTCCGGAAAACTTCAAAGCCATAGTTTTGGATGCATTCTCGCCAAAATTTAATTGCGTTTAAGAGCTGGCTTCAAAATTGCGTATCAAATTGTTTCAAAGAAATATCGATCCTTGTATAGATACCGACCCGTTTCCTGAAGATCTTTATAACTCGATACTGAAAGCTTTCGATGAGGAAATTGTAAAGATGAAGCGTGTGCTACATCCTTCAGTAATACCCTCTACTCTTCATCAAAAGTGTAAACATTTACTGACTCGTCTTTAAAGCATCTTGATGAATGAGACGATGCGGTAAGAACAGAGAAAATAACGATATTGATGATGTCTTGGGTAGGATGCTGATACCAATGATAGTTGCTTAAAGCTCGGACTTGCACTCAAAAGATAAAGAAAATGTTTGTGTTCACTCATCCCTTCTCATTTTGGTAAGCCGGAGTGATTGTATCGCACGCAAGGGCTGATTAATGAACCAGGACAACAGATAATGAACTAGGCGAATTGAGTTTGTACTTGTCGCGATTCTTGTTAATAACAAAGTGAAAAAAATAATGCGGATCTGAATTTTTATTAATTGTTTCAATCTAGTAAATAGATGTAATCAATAGATGAAAGTACTTTTGTGGTATGATGTCAAGGTGGCGGGCTAGGATTTCCGGCCAATGCACGAAAGCAATGCCATAATTTATCGTTTATAATTATATGCAGAAATTAGAAGCGGGAGGCTACAGCGCTTTACAACTACAACGCCTGTTCGAGATCGCCTCGTACTTTACACGTGAACTGGTTTTCTAATTCCTATTGTATTCAACTACATAGGTATGACAAATGACTGATGCTTTGCATACATATTGCATGACTCTTTTGACGTTAGAGACACTCATACTCTGGATTTCATCCGCAAATACCACTTTGAGGTATGCTTGCTTAGACAAACAGTCGACCCTCGTCCGTAAATGCCCACCAAAGGGAATATCAAAACCTCTGATTATCCAAGCATGCCTTCGTTATCCATGTATACCAGCACCGCGAGAAATGTGGTTGTGTTTTGCCAGATTTGAACCAGCGATCTACTGTCTCAAGTGGGATATGTGTCCAAGCTATCCAGACTCTACTTTGCGGACCGTCCAAGACGATGCACCACCGCACCATCCAACCATGGCGGTTTTTATAGTGTCGCCTGCACTCTCGCAACCGAAGGCTTGGCATGCACAAAGCTCAATTTGTAAAATCTCCTTGCCAAAATTCAAAATTCAACGCCCGTCGAGACTGTATCCATCCTTCGCATCATCTTGTGAACTTGTCCTGATCCCTCTCACGCCAATCCCAAAGAACTATCTCCCAGATTTGTGCGCCACGCTTTGTCTCCATCATCGGGTATAAATATCGGCGTGGGCGTGTATTTGGTGACCGGCTGAGGCCAGAGAAAGTCGACGAGAGGTGTGATCATTGGAATGAGGATGTATCATGTCGTACTTGTAGACTTAATGAGGCTTAGATAGGATTCGATCTTTTTTGGAATGAAAATTTGACATGGTGGAGTTATTTGAACCATTACCTCGTGGGCCAACTTGTTCGATATTGCGAAACTTGACTGAACTTGGGTCTGGGAGAATATTTCACTCACAGGTCTGTAGAGGACACCGCGTACAGGTGTTCAGTTTTGCCCTCCCATATCCCCTATATGACGGTATTTTTCACGGCACCGATTATGTCATCTTAACAGGGGTCTTTCTGTATGAAGAAAAAACTGTCATAAATATTTTCAACAATTTGCACAAATACGGATGTTAGCCCCAATTCGGAAGGTGATCATGTCTAAACAGTCCTAGTCACCACGCTTAACACCCTGCTCACGCCCCAATGCAAATTTTACACCGTGGTACCATAGTACAGGGTGTGATTAGGGCTGTTGTCCCTTGCGTCGATCCGGAGGCTATCTGCAATCAAGGATTGATTCATGTAAAGCCCAAGGAAGCGTTCAGAAAGATAAGGAAAGTTTTGCAAGCATGTACAGCTCTCGCGCATCTTGGTAATATTCTCGAGTTGCATACCACGGTGAAAATTCAATTCGCATTCGCACAGGTACTTAGCGACGACCACAGTCACTTTGTAGGGTCAAAGAAAAAATACTTAGTCAATAGCGAAAGGAGATCAGGGGATCGCTTATGTGGTGGCCAGAGCTCAGTGTAAATCCTTTCATGCGGCGCCAATTTTGCGGATGCTCCAATACGTCACACTTAGCGTTATTCAGTAACAAATGAAGTTTGGGTAGTCTGGTTTTTCCACGAGTCGAGCTTGAGTACATCGTATCTGCCAATTTGATCCTGCTTTGATCCATTTTTATCATGATCATTATTAGTCTAAAACATTTCGATTACTGAGCACGTAACGAAAAACAAGTGATGGCTTCAGCATTTACTTTCCGAAATTACCACAGTTTTAGCAATCACACAGGGCATGACCTTGATGTCTATCAGATCACATTCAACAGATCAAATATACATAGTGCTATTAGCTTCAAGTTTGTAAGATAGCTTTAGCAGCTCTTCATATTCACAGACTCAGTAGGGGCTATAATTATACTCTATCTTACTATGTTCCTAGAGTTACTGAAACTTGCACAAGAGCTTAAGTATCTCTATATCCACCGAAAGATGACATATTCTGCTAGAAATTATGCGAGAATCTAATAGGTATTGAACTTATCCCAATCTTTGATTCGAGGAGCAGTGTTCAGAAGCGACATCGTGGCCATCGCAAGCTAAAAATTACAACCGAATATTTCGGTATACAGAATAAAAGTGCGATGTTGGGCAACTATATTTTGGAATAAACTGTCTTCTGATCACCATTGTAATCTCAACTCACGATTGTGTAAACGTGTTCAATACAAATAGTTGCATTGATGATTCATTTCTTTGTCTTTTCATCCTTTCACAAATTCCTGCCTCTCTATTTAGATATTCAGGAGCAACAAGAGGTCTTGTCTTCTGAATAACTCGAGGTAGTATTCAATCTGGACATCTTTCATGTCGCCGTGGACCGGCTTCCCACACCTACCTTGCCCGATGAAAAGCAGGAATAATTCAGATGAAATGGTTGGTTGAGGTCAGTAAGAGCAGACCATACTCTCAGTTGCCAGTGAAATGTTCTTTGGCGCTTAAATTTCATGGGAGAACCCCATGTCCTCAGTGAACTCATGGCTCACATTAGGCATTACTGTAGACAGATAATATCTAAACTTGGAGATCAGCTTTCTTTTCACACCCAAAAGTCGTGGAAAATGTGCTTTTTTTCGAATTTTCTAAAAAATATAAGTTTTGACTATGTTCATTGGATATTGCATGAATGGGTGGTCTAATACGCAGCAAGTATTATACTTGGAATTGAGAGCCCCGATGAAACTCTTAGTCTCGCAACCAATAATCCATCCACGTTTATCAAGAATCCCCTCTTTGTAGCCGGAGTGGTCGGGTTAATCCTGAAGGGCTGCCTAGGCAGTGTAATACCCCCTTTTTTGAGCCGACAAGAAGTTTGCTATTCAAATCCGCAACGCTGATGCATAAGTAAATCTTGCTACATAATCGTTATTTTAACTTTCAGAGATAAAGTTGCACATTTACTAAATTTAGTTTGTTGTGTGTGTACCGGAAGGCAATATAAAGTTTTTGCAGAGCAACCAAACTAACCAAGGCTTATCTTATCTCGGGAAATGATGACTAATCGGAATTATAGCATATACAAACCCCTCTATTCGTCAACGGCAACTCCCATCCCAACAAAATCCGGCCCTATTTTGTCTTCAAACTTTTCCAATCCACGTTACCTTATCATTATTACTACTATCTCGTTTCAATATGGGCTACTCTGCTGTTGACCAGGAGGCGATTAATACAATTCGTCTCCTAGCTGTACGTTATCACTAATTTTTTGAGCCCGCACCAGCTATCATATCCGGTTCTCTCCAGAACAATAATTGATACCGTATCACAGGTGGACGCTACTATACAATGCAATTCAGGACACCCTGGTGCCCCAATGTAAGTTGAGTAACTTCAATTCGTACGTCGACTAACCACATACACTCTAGGGGTATGGCTCCCGTTGCTCACGTCTTATTCAACAAAATTATGAATTTCAACCCCAAAAGCTCCAGTTGGATCAACCGGGATAGATTTGTTCTATCGTAAGCTTCTCAAATCTATTCACGACATGGTCACATATTGTTTATCCGGGTAAGGTTTTAGATGGAAACTATTCTAACCTACTATCGTTTAGAAACGGCCATGGATGCATGCTCCAGTATGCACTACTGCACCTTGCTGGTTTTAAACTTTCTATCGATGATATTAAGGCCTTCCGTGTACGTTAATACTTGGTAAATACCACCACCCATACTGATTTCTGCTCAGAAAATTGGTAGTTTGACACCCGGCCACCCTGAGTCTCATGAGACAGATGGAGTAGAAGTCACCACAGGTCCATTGGGACAAGGCTTTTCCAACGCTGTCGGCTTGGCTATAGCTCAACAACATGCTGCAGGATTATACAATAAGCCAGATTTCGAGCTTTTCAACAATTATACCTTCACATTTCTGGGTGATGGGTGTATGATGGAGGGTGTTGCTAGTGAAGCTGCATCTCTAGCAGGTCATTTGCAATTAGGTAACTTGATAGCTATCTACGATGATAATGGTATTTCCATCGACGGTAACGTCAATTGTACTTTGACAGAAGATGTCACCAAGAGATTCGAGGCCTACGGATGGCACACTCTCACAGTCGAAGATGGAGACAATAACTTAGAGGCAATCGAAGCTGCCATTAGAGAATGCCAATCTGTCAAGAACAAACCCTCGATGATTAAGCTCCGAACTACAATTGGGTTTGGCTCTCTCTTAGCTGGCACTCACAATGTGCATGGAAGTCCACTCAAACCAGATGACGCGAAGCAGCTCAAGGCTAAGTTTGGTTTTGACCCTGAACAGTCTTTTGTAGTACGACAGGCTGTCTACGACCTTTACAATAAGCGCGGTGCTGAGGGTGCTGCTCGAGAACAAGAATGGTGTAAACTTTTTGAAAAGTACTGTTCAACTTATGAGTCTGAAGCTAAAGACCTCAAGCGTCGCCTTTCCGGGGAGCTCCCTGAGGGCTGGGAAAAAAACTTGCCCACCTATTCTCCAAAGGACCCTGCAATTGCAACACGCAAATTATCAGAGACTGTCCTACAAAAAATATACTCATCTGTACCTGAATTGGTCGGTGGCTCGGCAGATCTAACAGGCTCAAACCTGACTAGGTGGAAGGAAGCTGTAGACTTTCAGCCTCCATCTCTAGGTATCGGAAACTGGAGTGGGCGTTACATTAGGTACGGTGTGCGGGAACACGCCATGGGTGCTATAATGAACGGTCTCGCAGCGTACGGTTTATTTATACCTTACGCAGGTACATTCCTTAACTTCGTCTCGTATGCCTCTGGGGCCGTTCGTCTATCTGCATTATCTCAAGTCCGCACTATCTGGGTTGCCACACATGATTCTATTGGACTGGGTGAAGATGGGCCAACACATCAGCCTATTGAGGTTCTAGCGCACTTCCGTGCTCTACCAAACTGTATGGTTTGGCGCCCAGCCGATGGAAACGAAGTAAGTGCTGCATACTATGTAGCTCTAACGTCGAAGAATACACCCAGTATCTTAGCTCTCTCTCGCCAAAATCTACCGCAGCTTGAGAACTCAAGTATCGGTAATGCTATCAAAGGAGGCTATGTTGCCTGTGAAGATGACAAAGCTGATATTACCATCGTATCTTCTGGCTCCGAGGTAGGAATCTGTATAGAATCCGTGAAATATTTGAAGGAACACCATAATCTCCGCGCTCGTGTAGTTTCTATTCCTTGTTTTGAGGTTTTTGATGCCCAGTCCAAAGAATACAGACTAAGTGTAATTCCGGATGGTATACCATCACTATCTGTTGAAGTCATGTCAACACTCGGCTGGGAGCGCTACTCGCATGAGCAGTTTGGTCTAAACCGATTTGGTGCTTCAGGTGCCTACTTGGATGTCTACAAGGTAAAACGAGCCTCTTTTCCGTACTTGAAAGCTTCTAACAAATGAATTACAGAGGTTCGAGTTTACACCCGAGGGTATTTCCAAGCGTGCCTTGGCTACGGTTGATTTCTGGAAGGGAGTGCCAAATATCCGCTCTCCCCTCAACCGTGCTTTCCAACAATTAATTTAGCTTGTTGTAAGCTTACCAAAATTTCACACGATAAGTAAACTTGGTAAAATAAAATTCAAAATTTGTATATAGAAATTTAGGAGGGATAAAAATAACCACTACATTTGTTTACTGAGTGAAGCTATCTCAAATATATAATCCCCATCAAACTTCGAAGATAACTCCAGAACCTCCGCTGTTAAGTCTTCTACTCTCAGCAATGTCCAATTTCCATCCTTCCCATTTCTTTAAAGATCGCTTAATATCTTTAATTCTCTCTATCCTTTCTTTAGCCTCTTCCTCCTTGGCACGGCGGAAGGCATCTTCATCAAAGTCGATGAGCTCACTGTCTTCCAAAAAACCTCCATCATCATCCAAACCATTATCAGTACCAGTCAGAGCATTGAAACTACTCGATATAAAACCACCCAAACCTCCTTTATCAGCCTGAGTGTTGTGTCGTCTTGGCGAAAGCTCACCACCGAGGTCTACCTCTGTAAACTTTGTTCCCGGACTGGTAATGCTGTTTGACTTCAGGCGTGCGGCTGATCTTCTCCGCTCCTTCCAGGTATCTCCGCGAAGCTTGTAAATCTCTGCTTCGAGATCTCTTACTCTTTTTTCGAGTCTATTGCGCTCTTCACTCTTTTCTTTTGTAATTTCAGTATTCTCATGAATTTGACTGGCACGTTCTTTTTCAACAACGAACTGAAGGTTCTCCATCTCAACTTGTGCTAAACGCGTACGTAAATCTATGCATTCTCTTTCTGCTGTTTCACGCTGGCGTTTCTCGGTCTGGATCTGAGATTCGTACTGGATCTTCTCATTATTTAGGGTTTTAATTTTTTCCTGCAGAGCGAATACTTCTCTTTGAAGTTCTTCTCTTGGCAGGTCCATACTATTAATACCTTGGTCAGAGGTAGATCTCTCAGTACTGCTAGGTGTATTTCTGCTGTCTTGTGTAGGTGTCCCATTCGTAGATTGATTTTGATTTTCTTCACGGTCTTTTTGAGTGTCCTGTGATACTGTTATGGGTTTGTCCTGATCCGGGGGGTGTATTTTCTCATTAACAGCATCTGTAGTGTCACCATGTGATGGAGAATTATCTAGTGCGCCCCTAACAAGTTGAGTTCCAGAAGATGCATAATCTTGAGTGCTCGAAGGTGCTTCGATTAAATTATTGTCATGGTCTGGAATCGGCGTCATCTGTTTTGATTCGCCAGTCTCGAGACCATAACATTCTTGCTCCTGCAGCGTACTCTCGTCTTGCTTTGATAATGCCTCATCATTTTTTTTTGGTTCAACTGAGTCTCTTGGGACTTCTTGTTTGTTGTCCTTCTTTCCGCTGCTCTTCTTCTTCATCTGCTCCACCTACAACTATTAATCAGCTAGCATGACGCTAGGGGGCAAGACAAACGGAACCTACACGCTTTTTTGCAGCTGCTAATTTTTCAGCTTTCGCCTTTTCCTGAGCGTCGGCCATGATTGATGACTCGAGTAATAAAGGTTTGGATTGAGTTGTTGGTATGGACAACGCCACTACCTGTCGGTTATTAATCAATCGGTTCTTGTAGCTTAGGTGTCAATTCGAGGGATCGCAGGAAGACCACCCAAACCACGATTCAAAATAGTACGATCTATCAATAAGCAGTTCGGATTCAAGCTTATCTGTGATGGACAAAAATGGACTAGAATCTCCTCGACTTGCGCTGCATTTGGCTGACAGAGCACTTGCACCGCTTTTTTCTTCCGCGGACTTTGACACACCGAGGGTTCCAGGCTTACAATCTCAGACCCAAGCGCAAGCGCTATCTTCTCTCACGAACACTGCAATTATTGCTCACGATACTTCCCTACGACTTGGTCTGGGTGCGCCTATGCGCATTATGGTTGAAATGCAATCGTCGGGTCCCATAGTACTTCAGTCATTCTTGAACCCATCATCCATCAATAACAGTGAAAGCGATAAAAATAGCAGAAGCCTCATTGAGATTGATGAAGAGCCTCAGAAGTCTATAGATTCTTGCCTCGGAAAAGGAACGACAGACCGCGGCTCTAATGGCAGCAAGATGTGTGTGCCGGACATCAGTATCGCAAACGATAAGGACGTCCATGGGGAACTCGGAGATAAGAAACCAATTTCCCCTTCACCGCCACTGTTAATTGCAGTTGTCGTTGCTCCTACGTCAGTAGAGGCTGCTGAAGCTAGAAGAGCAGCAAGTCGGCTTGTCAGAGCGGGACGGGAATGTCAAGGGGCTTGGTTAAGGGGGCGCATGGAAATCGACTCGGAATCTAGTTTACTTGGAGATAAAAGGTACAAATAATCTGGAAGAGCTCGGGTGCTAGCTACATTGTACAGGATAAAGCGATCTATTGATCGTCATTGAGCTCGCAGACCCTCACCTCACAACTGGTGCTGAATGAAAAATTAAAGTCTAAGACTAATTCTTTTCCCGATAAAATCAACTTTAGCATACTGTGAGTGGAAATTAAGGCTTGGGACCTCGGCTTTCTAGTCACAAATCATTGTACTCGCCCCCCAGTTTTACTTACGGATGCGTTGAATGTTGGACTATAATTCCTAAAATCTCTGCAAAATTTAATCACACACAACTAGCTACCTACACGATCGCAAATTCTACCTTCTTCGACACCAGAGACTTATTGAGCATCAGGGTAGTGGCAGCAAGTACTTCAGTGGTATATATTCGATAAATTGATAAGAAAATTAATGAGGATAGTTTTATGATAGAATATCAGAAGGAGCAATAACCTGCGTGACTTTAGTGTATAAAAACGAAACAGATTCGGCTCAAAAATTGTTGGAGCTAAGCCTTGCTAGAACCAAAAATATCTCACTATATTTCATCCGAGAGACGTGGAATGGGCGACAGGTACGAGATGAAAGCTCCGGTAATGTCAGGAGCTTCAAATAGGATAATCTATCGTGACCTTTCGCGATGCAGGTCTTCAATCTTTCACAATTCTGCAGAAGAATCGAGAATATAGCTCTGTATAAGTCAATAAGCAGCCAAGGTCTTGGATGAGATTTCGTAAACGGGGCTAACTCCCATTTGTTCTCCTATCCATTGTTCAAAACTCGCAGATTTGCTGCCTTAATGTCTGAAATTCCTCTTCCGGCATCGCAATATTCCATTTCGTACATTCATGCCTACGGCCTGAGGGTGACATGTAAATGTGGCCTGGCCAAACCAAATTGTGCCTGAGTCCATTCATAATAAAGTATCTCTGTTCTCCATTTCGTAGATAACCCCTCTCCATATCCGCAGGAGTTTAGTAGTGTGGCACTTGCACATTCCATCTACATTCTTTTTGAAATGTTTTGTTTCGCCTTCAACCCTAAAATCCCAATTCCATCCCATGATTCTCAGCACACACTCTAAGCCAATACCCGTCAGTTCTAAAATCCTGAACGAATATATTACCATGTAAGCCTTTCCTGATAACTTAAACTGACACCGTCAACCTTATTTTCTTCTCATCCCTCGCATACAAGCCAAAATACTGTCGGATATGAGGAGATGACGTTGTAGCTGTAAACGTCGCAGGCATTAAAAAAGTTTCGTTGGTGTATCTACTCACATCTAATGGTATCTAGCCAGATCTGAATTTCTTCATTCGTCGCTTGTATCTCTTGTACTTCCACACATCGCGAAAATAATCTCGGCGCTGATTCACTTTGCTAAACCGATAGAGTCTAGACAATAAGATCAGTTGTGATTCAGAGATACACGAGTTAATGTTCTGTTGTTGTGTAGGCCGCGGAGCTTTTATCCATCGATATTCAGCGACTGAAGGTGTGCGTGTTGGCTAGTCGAGCTGCAAGTCAGATCAACGCGACAGATACCATAAAAACCATTCAGCACTAAGTTGGCATGAGTGTCCAAAATGAGTCAGAAAATAGTAATAGCGATTTATGTCTTACGAGCAAGTAAGGGACTAATTCGCGTCGAAGGACCGGCAGGGAATCGGATGTACATGCGAGGGCTGTATCGCACATTTAATTTGACGATTACTAAATTTAATTCTGGTAAGTTGGGTTCTTAGTACAAACATACGAAGTTCTACTTTACAAGTCTGAGCTTTAGAATGATCTGATCGGTTGTTAGTTAACTTTGTCGAGTTGGGACTGTTAGTTGGCGTGTGTGGCTGAACGGCTGCGCCACACCAATAATGTCGTGAATTAGCGCCAGACCACAACGAACAGCTTGAAAAATCCAACCTACACTATAGCATCTTGCTCCAACAACGCAAATCCCGCCGACAACACTAGCCAAAATATCACTATGTCCCTTTCATATGAGGCCCCTCGGACTTTTTCAGATTATCCACAATCGGCTATGATGCATGAGGCACATCACGACGACGATGGCAACATGCACCATAGCCACAGTCATCGATATCCAAGTCCACCGCCACCTCTCAATGACAATCAATTTCATGCCACAGTTCTTGAACATGGGACTGGATTAGATACAGCATCGGCTTTAATTGATGGAATGTCAGAGCTTCATCCCAAGGAAGAATTTGACGCGCCAAGTCCAAGTCGATCTAAACCCATCCCAAAACCAGACCGAGAAATTACAAAGGGCGAGGATGGAAGATATGTCTGCCGATGGCCCGGATGTACGGAAGAAGTTCGAACTTTTAATCGGAAATGTGAATGGTCAAAGGTAATGGACGCGACAACAGCTTTGACACCCCACCCAACCTAGACTGAGGCTGACCCTTCCAGCACATGGATAAGCACGACAGACCCTATAAATGTCCATCTGAGGGATGTGACAAGCTACCTGGCTTTACCTATTCCGGTGGTCTCCTGCGACATCAACGAGAAGTTCATAACCTTCATGGTGGCCCCCGGAAACAACTAAATTGTCCGCATCCCAATTGCAAGAGATTCTCTGGCAAAGGATTCTCGCGTCAAGAAAATCTCAATGAGCACCTACGGCGGGTCCACACCGATGCCGGGGGGGATATACAAAATGGAGAGGAGACTGAAGACGATGGAAGTGAGAGGGCTGGAGCAAAGCGGAAAAGGATTATGCAAGGCTCACCCAACGAAGATGGAGCAGACATACGCCAGGAAATGGCAAGGCTCCGACAAGAAAACGAAGAATTGCGTCGAACTAGTAATAGTATGATGCGTCAGTTGGAGCTGCTACAGAATATTGTAGCTGGACAGCATATGGCGGGATCCCGAATTCATCAAGGCCCTCAGGCTCCACAAGCTCCCATGATATAACTATGATCTTTGTCCTGAGAATTTCAAGGAGTTCATGGAGGCGTTGGTAAAGGTTTAAATCTACTGCCTGGGTAATCAAAAAAATTTGATGACGAGACTGGAGAATAATTACTATGTCCGTGAAACGGCGTTGGTCTATCAAATCTCCCATTCTTCAAAATTAGGTATCTCGTGAACACCGAGAAGTGCATATGTGCTTCGCAGAATCTCACGCAAGTTCCGATGATTGAGAACAAATCTTTCCAAATTTCGGAATGGACTTGGATTTGCTGAATTTTCCTGCACTGTTCCATGACAGAGTACGATTTGAGAATTGCTGACGAAATTGGACAACTACTTTTTGCGCTGGATGCTGCACAAGAAATTCGATAGTTTGAACAGATTACTTCAAAAGGAGATCAATGTCGGAATAATATAACTCCCATCGTCAGATTTAGGATGAAGTGGGCCTAGCATACAAAGAGACTTATTGGGAATCAATTGTGGAACGGCACGACTGATGGCCGATTAAATTATTCGAAAGTGGTAAAGGGGGGTTTCAAGAGCTTAATTACTCATTAGAGAATGGCTGCGAGGTTGGGGGCGCCGAATTTGCGGTTGAAATATCGCTGTCACTTCACTGCTGCCGACTTGGCACAAAATATAGGGGTAACGGCGCCATAAATTCATATCTCCTACCATGTCGCGTAACGTGCCAAAGTCCACCAGATTAGTCATCTTGCCTTTGATCCTGCCTAACGTGGAGTATCCCTGCCAAGTGTAAACTGTAAGAATCCTATGATGCAATCAATATGCAACTATCGGAAACGAAGGCTCGGTCAGGTTGTAGGCTCCAGTCTATACCGGACTACGCCAAGAGCTGGGGAAGAGGAAAGCAGAGTGTTAGTCACATGATGCGCTTTAATTTCATTACAACCGTAAGGGCAAAAAATGTACGTCACCCCGAGACGCTAGGGTAAGGGTAACATGTGACCTTCAACGTGACTTTGCCGCAATGGTGCCGACGCTCTGAGCCGTGGCGGTTCGGAGTTTAGGGGGAACAAGGCGGAATTACCCGTACGGTCGGTGGCGAAACTGGCCGCTTGGTTGAATGCGCGACGAGCGGCAAGACGAAAATTCACAAAGGTTGTCATCAAACACAGGCATCAGACTCTTTCTCTAGCGCACCATCGCCATCGGCGCTGGCGCAGGCGTTTAACAGGCAGCTCCAACGGGCAGGCAGGTCGCAAGCCACCTTCTCCCTCCTCACAATGTTTGCTTAGGGGGTAGGGGGTTGGGGGTTGGGAAAATTATATGAGGGGTGCGAGAAGTGGATTGCGTGTGCGGCTATTTGGCTACCCCAGAAACGTTGGACGTGTCAGTCCCATTCGGCCAAACCTAGGCATCGAGCGGGGCAACAGTAGCTGTAGCTTTAACGTCGGCAGCGAATCGTCTCATCATGGTAGAACTTGACCGCACGGTTGGCCTCATTTTGCCTCAGTGTATGCATGAAAATCCTCATTCGGCGATGCGTCGCTCAAGGTTTTACTCCTGTCCCTGCGCTAATTGGGCTGTTGCTGACTGCTAATTACTAGCTATCTAAATTTATGGACGCGTGATGGACAGCGGAAGTGGTACAGCAACGACGACGAGGATGGTGTTAAGAGAGGGCAGATGACAATCTGATCTAGAAGACACATCGAGCATCTCAATCCTCTGCGTGAAACTCGTAACGAGCAGCAGCTTCGTCATATTTTGCCTGGCCTCAGGAACAGGCTCCCTTATTAGACAACAAGCTTCACCGTAGAGAGGAAACCAAGGAAGGTCATACTATCGGTTACCCGCTAACAACAACGGACCTACTCTCCGAAGTAGGCGAGTCTCACTCATTATTATTGCTGGGTTATTTCACTAATGCTCGATTTCAGTTCCTAGGTTGTTCGTTGGTCAGTCAATTAATCAGATCAGTCAGGCTTACTCGATGCCGAGATCCACTCAAGCCTCAATATCGAATTATGGCCCAACATCCAACCACATCCCTCCTAGGATCTTTGGCTCAAATGGCTCTTGATCATTCTCTCCTTTCTCGTCCGGGCTTCCCCATAAAGGTCCCCGGAAATCCCTCTGGTCTACCCACAAGTTCTTAAGTTCATGCCTTTCGTCATCCTGAAACCCCCTCTCCCTTCTATATTACCACACTCATCGGACTAAACCTGGACGGGAGATTATTACTCCTCTATTAGTCGTCTTTTCCAACAGCCCCGAGCATAACTGCTCCTGCACCTGGAACGACTCGAGGCTATTTACTTTTTTTGCTCCTTCGGGGAGTTAAATCAAACCCGCTCTATCAGGCTTAAATAAGGTCCTCTTCCCCCAAATTGCTCGTAACAACAATCTCGATCAACATGGAAACATCAAAAACTCTCGTCCCGCCAGGTCGGCCCTTTCTACGACGGCTGTCCTCCATGACTGCCACCGAAAAGCAGATCAAGGAAGGAGGACCGGTGGTCATTGTTCCCGAAAGGTTGATGGAAGACACTCGGATCCAATCACAGAATGGATTTGCTGCTTCAATGGAATCTGCTAGAAACGAGCTGGCAGCTCTCAATTTAGAATATTACGATTCTCCACCATCATCAGGCTCCTCGAGTCTAACTGGGTCTCCTAAAAATCGGGCCAATCTTGCTACGGCAGATTCGTTTGCTTTTGCCTTTGATATTGACGGTGTTCTGGTTCGTGGAGGACGGCCGATCCCGGCGGCCATTGAAGCCATGAAGGTGCTTAATGGCGAGAACGAATATGGAATCAAAATGTAAGGACTGTGCTAATATCCTTGATTTGTTTTTACTAAATCCTAACTCAGCCCATATATTTTCCTAACAAATGGTAAATGCTCCCTTTCATTTGAACTTTGCAGCTCGTCAATTTTCCAACAAATAATTGATATTTGGATTTAGGAGGCGGTAAGACAGAAGCAGAGAGATGTATTGATCTATCCCGTCAGCTTGACATTGAAGTCTCTCCTTCTCAGTTCATCTGTGGTACGTTATCTCGCCACTCGAAGTTATACCGTCCATAACAGCTATCTAGGACATACTCCCATGCGGGAAATGGTAGAAAAATATCAAACAGTGTTGGTAATAGGTGGTGAGGGTGAAAAATGCCGAGAGGTTGCCGAAGGGTATGGATTTCGAGACGTAGTGACTCCCGGCGATATCATCAAAGACAATGAAACTACGACACCATTCAGACGCCTCACTGAAGAAGAGCGGAAAAATTCCAGGAAACGTGACCTCTCTAAGACAAAAATCGACGCAATCTTGTTAGTTATGAAATCCCAGTTTGCTATGAAGTTACACGGGCTAATACTGAATTCGCAGTGTTTTCGCTGATAGCAGAGATTGGGCTGGTGATATTCAGATAATGTTAGATCTTGCCATGTCCAAAGGAGGCTACATTGGCACACTGTCAGAAACCTACGATGAAGGGCCAACTATCTACTTCTCACACAATGATATTGTCTGGTCTGCAGCCCATGACAATGTTCGTTTAGGAATGGGTGCTCTACGAAAAATGGTTGAGATGTTGTTTAGAGACTTGACAAAGGGCAAGGAACTTGACACCATTGCATTTGGAAAGCCACAGATAGGTACATTCGAGTTTGCCACGCGTCTATTACAGCAGTGGCGAAAAGATGAACACCGTATCAACCGACCTCCGGAGACAGTCTACTTTGTCGGGGATACACCTGAGAGCGATATTCGAGGTACAAACATGTTCAACGAAAAATCCAAGAATGATTGGTATTCTATTTTGGTACGCACAGGTGTGTACCAAGAAGGAACTGAACCGGCATATAAACCACGCGTAACAGTTGATACGGTCCTCGATGCCGTCCGGCACGGCATGAAACGAGAATTTGCTATGGTTGGGAATCCGGACCAGGTGATTTAGCCAGCTAAATGTCATCTGTAAGCTTGTACAAGGGAGAAAAAAATGCGCTTTACAGCGATTGTGAAATTGATGGTTAGAAGCGAAGCTATACTTAATTAAATCTTCTTAGTAGCTGATGCGTCTATGAAGTCTTTGAACTTATGAAAAGCAACACTATAAATTGTGATATCTGCAAGAAATTTGACGTGGCCCCTACGTTCTGAGGACTACCTCATATTGTCGTGAGTAAAAGAAGTTTGTGAGAATTATTTGGTACCCTACAGCTCAGTCATCTGGTCCACTTTGAACACTTGAGCTCGTGGCCCGTACTTGGGTACGCACAGACCAAAATATAGGATTGATCCGGTCACAATGAAGGATCTTCAAGCCAGGGGCTACAAAGGATGGGTACCCGGAATTGCTATGGAGGTTTTATCGCCCCAATACAAGGACAGTGAGCTAATGCTGGCCTAGATGGAGTTAGAAAGACAAGGTTAAGCGGCACCATCGGAGTTTCTTCTCTGCTATGGAGAGACAAGATCACTGACGTCAGCGAAGCCCCGCCGACCCAGCGAAAATACTGGGTCCAAAGCCTCATCCATGGCGCCGCTAGGTTGAGACAAAGACGAAATAGAATAAATGAAAGCTTCTCTGTCGCTTTGGCCGTCGGCAACGGGCACGTCATCTTCTAGAATCCCTAATGCGGAAATGGTGGGGCCTAAGAGTGGGGCAATGATTAAGCTCAAAAGCCATCACAAGCTTCACGCGTATTATACGTCATGGCCCGTCTACCCTGGACCGGCCATCATGGTCCGCGGCAGCTGCGCGGGAGGGCTCGGGTTCATTCTACTAGCCAGCCTGACCCGGCCAATTTGCGGGGCCGTAGTCGGCTAGCCGTCATTGCGCCCCGCTCCGGAACGCTTTCGGATCATCACCTTTAACCTCGGACTTAAAGCACGCCTGTAATCAATTCCACAGAATGACTGTCAAATCTTGAAGTCTAGGTGAAGGCTGATCCCAAAGGTTACCAGTCTCAAACTCCAAAATCCTCTAAATACGCTAATGCAAGTTTACCCAAGAACACGACGGATACACACCGGCGCGCGCCGGAGCCACGGGAAGGGCAGACTCCCTGGCGACCGACATGCTTTCCCGCAGCCTCTAAGGCCGCCGCGCATCCAGCTCGGAGCGCGGAGTGCGAGGTGCAGTGTCGGGCAAGCGTAGCAACGTTACAGCGACTATTTTCTCCGTGCTAGTTCGTCATGCTGGCCCGGCGAGCATCTTGAGCATCGCTCTGCCTCTCTGGCGCCGCGTCTCGAGGATCAAGGCATGCGGCGCCATCCGTTCGCACAGCGTGTCTCGCCAAAAACCCGTCTAGCCGGGTATCAGGGCCGGTCGCGAGCTCGGGCCGTTTGGATGCTCGTGGGCTGGCCGTCTTAGTGGGGTGGGGCGGGGGAAATTGCCATGACGTACTCATCCGATTTGACTTGTCAGCTCCCTTTCTCACTCGTACCCTCCACACGGTTCTCGCGCAACGCGCGTGGCGAGAGCAGTATCCGAATTGAGGTGGGTGTTGAGCGGATAGGTTTGCAAAAGCTTGTGGCTGTTGGGTGTCAAGTTGATATGGATATGGTATACAGACAAGAAGTTGGATTAGGATACCTGCGGTGGTCTGGCGCTATGGAGGCACTGACGACTTCTTAATTACTATTCGCTTAATCTCACACACTTGGATATATGTACTTTGTAGATATAGCTCTGGTCTTTAGCTTTATTACCTTTTAAATCTTGAGTTCTTGCTTGCCATAGTCTGCGTGTCATAACATTGGGCACAGATTATATCACTTAGTGAAGCGAGTGGGAAAAATAGAGGAGTCTGTAAATCTGGCACGGAGAGTTGTTATTTAATCCCACTAGGACACAGTGTACTAGGGGGACTTTTCTCAACATCTGTTAGTGGTGTTGTTATGCTCAGCTATTTAGTATGGTAGGTCTAGTAGCTGGTGCATAGGTAGTTATTATGGCGCATGGAGGAGATCCAGTCTCTACATAACGACATTACAAGTAGTAATGTGTGCAGTATGAGAGACGGGTTATTGATTTAGGACAAATGGCATGGCTGCTCAGTTGGTTGCACACTTTGGTGAGCTGCATGCTGGTAACGTGATCGATCTACCAGGCGAACCACCTTTTTTTATTATTTTTTTGCATCAGATTTTAATTGCGTATGCAGCTATCTAGCTATGACATAATATCAAAGAAAAGTACAGAATGGATGATTCAGCGTAAGGGAAGAGCACTTATGCCTCTGCCGGCAAAGACGAATTCTTCACCTTCCAGTGGTGCCGGTGTAATCGCTCAGTATGCTCTGCATATCTGGGATAGCCAAGAAGAATCGCATCCGAATCGAAGTCGAAAGCAAACACATGTATATCTCCATTTGACGACTTCTCAACCATGCAGCACTCATCATTATCTTCTGAGTCCTCAACCCCGATCTAAGCACATATCAACTCGCCTCGCCGACCGATAGAGGCGTCACCCTAACTGCAAACAGGAGCTTGCCTCATTCATTACCGGCCATCACTCTCTACATATTTACGACGCTATTTATACCCGCAAGGAGGAAATCAAGTCGAAAAATACAAAGTTGGGGTCTTGGTTTATGGGGGACTGCTGCTCTAGTGGGGTTATACATCTTGAGGAAGAACAGGCAGCTGAGATGTGGAGCGAGAGGAGAAAGAAGACTCTGAAGACTGTGTTGGGACTGACATTTTCGAGGAGTTTCCAACTTTGGATTTTTTGTGGGCGCCAAGACTAAGATTTCGGCTAATTAGCCAGGAGGGCTTCTTTTGTCGATGAGTCAACGGCACTCCCCAGCGCCCTGGACGGTACAAAAGAAGTTAGGCTAAGCTACTATACAGCAATCACGCTCTGTCAAGACTTTTCTGACATTTCAGCACGACCTTCGGGAAGGAGTTGGAAGGAGGCTAGAAAGGCAGAGGGTGAATTTCCCGAGGTACACACAAGTCTGCAGCGCCCAGCTGGCCGGCCTCTTCGAACGCTTCAGAAGGGGCAATATGTCTTCGGATTTATTCCTAATGTCGGTATTAGAAGAGCCCCGCACCCAGTGGTTTTTGCGAATTTTCCCGGCTGCCATACACCCGCAAATGGCCATCGTTTCGTTGGCTGGAGAGGGGAGATAATGAAGGGCAAAGGGCTCCTCTTAGTGTATGATCGAATGAGGACTTGTGAGGGGTGGTACTGTTTGAGGGGAGCTGTATGGGAGGCATAGGAGGGGATATACTACTGGTATAGGTATCCTTGGCCTGTAGGCAGAGAGGACCTGCATGTCCTACATAGTCATAGACTCAGACAGGACAATAAAATGAATTAATAATAATAATAAGCACTTATGCCTCGGATTTCATTTGCGACTATCACTGCGAAGTTATGGTGGCTTTTTCTTCACCCCAAGTCAACCCTCATCCGTGAATACCCACCCAGGGGAACGTCTCAAAAACCCTGAGTTATCTAGACATGCCTCCGTCATCCATCAACTTTTCTCCGCGCGAAATGTAATCTGAGATGTCTCCTTCCCAAGTGGAGTAGGTGCCCAGGCTACTCAAACCATACCAGAGAACATCACCAGGAGGCGGATCACAACACCTTCCATCGGTGACTTGTGTTTATAGTGTCAGCTGCACTCTCACAAGCGAAGTCTTGGCGCGCACAAAGCTCAATTCGTAAAACTGCTTGCCAAAATTCGGAATCTCATGCCCTTCGAAGTTATATCCTTCCTTTGCATCATCTTGTAAACTTGTCCTGATCCCTCTCACGTCCATCCCAAAGAATTGTCCTAGATGTGTGCGCCACGCTTTGCTTCCTCCTGCGGATGTAAATATCGGCGTGGGCGTGTATTTGGTGACCGGCTGAGGCCAGAGAAGGTCGGAGAGAGGTGTGGTCATAGGGATGAGGATGTACTAGGTCGTACTTGCAGGCTTGATGAGGCTTGGATAGGAGTCAAACTCGTTGGGAGCGAAAAAACGACGTGGTGGAGTAATTTGAATCATTGCCTCGTGGGCCAACTTCTTTGATATTGCGAAATTTGACTGAACTTGGCTATGGGAGAATATTTCACTCCCAGGTTCGTAGAGGACACCGCGTACAGGTGTTCAGTCTCGCCCTCATCCTGGTGTCTTGAGCATGGACCAAGTCGGCAGGAAGAATTAGAACTGCTTAGGAGACAATAATGACCATCTGAGCTTGTAATGCGGATATAGACGTACCATCGTCTGACAGCAGCGAGGATAAGACACGGTGATTTTGAGGGCTACCATGACTGATTCAGGCACGAAAACGACGACGGCAGATGTATCTGTAGAAGAGAGAGACGTCCTTGATAGTTTGTAGAGTGCCGAACAACTCTGCCACAATGGAGAATATCCAGACATGAACCACAACCGAAAGGACGGAGAGACGGGGCTGACCTCCTAATGCAGATATGAAGTAAATAAATTATTCAGCTTTCCTGATTTGGCGCCTTGAGGCGCATGCAGGTTTTATGGGAAGATATGTACTTTAAGTAGGATCACTCAATTTGACCTTTAGAACATCCACCCTCACATTTCATTTGCAGATACCACTCGGGGTTAACCCTTGCGGCGTACAACCTCTTCCGTGCATACCCACCACAGGGATAAGCGTGAAAAACTTGTGGCTATCCAAGTGTGCTCTCATCATGCCACAAGTACAATATCACGGCAAGAGAGAGTGTGGTGTGTGGGTCTTACTGGAGTTCGAACCAGCTTTCTCCTGTCTCAAATGGGGTAGGTGTTCAAGCTACCCAGATTCTACTTGGGAGAACGGGCCAAACAGTGTACCACTACACCATCCAGCCCCAGTAGTTGTGTAATTAGAACTAATAGCGCGGTGGTCCTGTATTTACGCGTCGTATATAGAAAACAATGGAGTATTTGCGACCTCCCACAGCCCCGAACCCAAACGAATTTCTGTCAGAT